GGTCCTTTCATCCTCGGACCTAGGAACTCAGTCTTCCTGCCCTGGTTGCCAAGTGTCTGGACCTTCAAATTCTCCATCCAAAAATCCTTTCTTTAAAGATGACTTGGGTCAGCCGGGCGTTGGTGGCGCACGCCTTTAATCCCAGCACCCGGGAAGCAGAGGCAGGGGGATCTCTGTGAGCTCGAGCCCAGCCTGGTCTACAAGAGCGAGTGCCAGGACAGCCTCCAAAGCCACAGAGAAACCCTGTCTCGAAAAACCAAAAAAAAAAAGACTTGGGTCAGGAGCTGGGTGCTGTCACCTTCAAAGACCCAACACCTTAGGACCACGGTGTGGAGCCCCACTCACAGGGCCAACTCAAGTCTTCTCCCTAAAGGGCTTACTGTTTCCTCTCTCAAGTGAGTGTAGACTATTCTCTTTCCCTGACAGACTGAGCTCTGTGTGGACTTCTAGATGTGTGTCTTGTGGGAACCTGCCCACATATGCCTGACGCTTTGTTTTCAACTGTGTGTGCACTGGTGTGGGTGTGGTGAGGTAGGGGTGTGTTATTAAACGAGCCTGAAGCAGACGGTGATGTACACCTATAATCTCAGGGGAGGCTGAGGATGGGAGAGCAAGAGCCCCAGGCTGAACTCTGTTGAGAGAAGACTCGTTGGCTAAGAACTTTGGCTGCTCTTCTAGAAGACCTGGATTCAAGTCCCAGTACCCACACTGTATGTAACGCCAGTTTTAGGGAATCCATTGCCTTCCTCTGGCCCAGGGACCAGGAACATATGTGATACAAAGAAATACATGCAGGCAAAATACCCACGCATGCAAAACAGAGATAATAAATCTTTAAAAACAAAAGGAAATAAAAGTGCCTACAGTAGTAAGCATCTAGCAAGGGACCTAGAAAGGACTTAGGATTTACTCCTAGTGACATCTTGTGACGGGGGAAGAGGAAGTACTATAGGACAATTGTCAAGGACCTCTTCACAGAAAACACAAGGAGACTCTTGCAAGCACATTTGCCTCTCTGCCCCCTTTTCCCCTAGTTAAACATAAATATTAGCCCTTTACCTTATTTATCTATTTACTTTAAGATTTATTTATTATGTATACAGTGTTCTGTCTGCATGTCTGCCTGCAGGCCAGCAGAGGGCACCAGATCTCATAACGAATGCCTGTGAGCCACCATGTGGTTGCTGGAAACCGAACTCAGGTCTTCTGGAAGAGCAGCCAACGCTCTTAACCTCTGAGCAGTCTCTCCGGCCCTCTCCCCCTTTATCTTCTTGGATTCAGTTCTTTCTGTGTCTTTAAGGAAGGAATCAAGACAGCCGTCATTTTGAGTTCTCATAGAATGAACAGCCATATTGGCTATACTTTTATTGACCAAAGTTCCCCTCCTGGGAAAGTCAGGACTGGGTGGGGGGAATTATTTCTCTTACCTTAATTTGTCTTATGCTATCATTGTTCTTGGTGCAGATGGTTATTTTCAAATACCTTTTCTACTGGCTACAGATGCCTTCCATCCGTGTCCCCAACTCCCTACACTTCCTGCCTTTGTCCCCCTGCGAAGAGTTTAGTCACCATTTTGAATGTCTCTCTCCCAGGAGATTAAACAGGCACATGGTCACATTGCTCGTACTTGGAGCATCCCCTTTGGCTGAGCCTATTAGGCATCAATGATCCTGACGGCTGTTTCCCTCCTTTGGCGTCCAGTTTTGGAGGAGTAGGTCATCAACTTGCTCTGATTTCCTGAGAATGCTGGACAGCACACAATGGCAAGTTGGCGATCTCAAGACTCTTCAGTTAGAGAGATGTCTTCACACATGAGTCTGGAGACGCTGGTGGCTGGGTGGAGACAAGGTAGCGTAGGGGAAGGGGGGAGTCCCAGAGCTCAAATCCGGGGGTCCAAAGGATGTAGGCTTCATGTAGCTGGCGAAAGCTCGGGGATGGGGGGTGGTGAGGTAACCGGCCCGTGCTCTGTACAGTCTGCAGGGGGGTACTAAGTCCAGGCGGGGCGTGAAGTCATAGTAAGTAGGAGTCCCTGGAAGTCCAATCGGAGAGGGGGGTGGCAAGAAGAGGCCTCCTCCCGGGGCTTCCCCGAGGCTAAGGCTCACACTGACTCCTCGGACCTTGTAGTAACCATTGGTTGGATCCTGGGGACAAAGTGAGACTTGGTATGGAATGTGAGGGTGTAGGAAGGTAAGGATCATGGATGCAGAGACACACAGAGTGACAGCCAGACCTAGAGAGAGGTGTGGTGGCAGAAACCAGAGACAGCAGGAGCAGCAAATCCTAGACAGGAATCGCTGGGCAGAGACAGGGGAAGCGCTGGCTTCCTAGAACAAGCAAGGTCTGGCTGAAGTTAAGGAGGGGCAGGGAGGGAGACTGGGAAGGGAGGGAGGGGGGAGAGAGGGCAGGAGGGCTGGCTGGCTTCAGGTCAAGAGAAAAGTACGATCAAATACAGACAAGAGGGATGTAGTTCAGTCGGTAGGGTGCTTGTCTTGGTTTGATTCACAGCGCTACAGAAACTCAGTGTGGTGGCATATGGTTTTAATCCCAGTACTCGGGAGCATAATCAGGAGTTCTAGATCATTCTTTTTTGTTTGTTTGGGTTTTTTTTGTTGTTTGTTTTTCAAGACAGGTTTCTCTGTATTGTTTTGGAGCCTGTCCTGGCACTCGTTCTGGAGACCAGGCTGGCCTGGAACTCACAGAGATCCACCTGCCTCTGCCTCCCGAGTGCTGGGATTAAAGGTGTGCGCCACCGTCGACCCAGCTTCTAGATCATTCTGGTTACACAGTCAGTTCAAGGCTAGCCTGAGATACATGAGGCTCTGTCTCAAAGAAAAGTCAGAGAGGGGGCTTTAGAATGGGAGCCAGGGTCGGAATCAATGCGTGTATCCTAAGATAGGATTTCAAAGCAGAACTGTCTTTGGGAAACATGAGATGTTAGGGTGGGACCAAGTGGGAGGAAGGCTACCAGCTGGTAGAGAGCAGTCAAAGAGGCACCTAGAAGCACGAAACGGGGCTGATGGGGAAAGAACAAAGAACGGGGCTAGAGACCAAAACAACAGTGGATAACTTGCAGGGCGTTGGTGGCGCACGCCTTTAATCCCAGCACTCAGGAGGCAAAGGCAGGCGGATCTCTGTGAGTTTGAGACCAGCCTGGTCTACAAGAGCTAGTAGTGGATAACTTGAACTCTGGAGCCTGTGAGCTGTGATCTGTGAGCTGGCCCAGGAGGAGTTAAAGGTAGTTTTTGTTTTGTTTTGTTTTTCTTTGCAAGACAGGATTTCTCTGTGTAATGGCTTTCCTGGCACTCGCTCTGTAGACCAGGCTGGCCTCAAACTCATAGAGATCCTCCTGCCTCTGTCTCTGCTGGGACTAAAGGCGTGCGCCACCACCTGGCAAAGGTAGGTCTTAAGGCAACAGAATCAAAAGCAGATGGAAGCAGGGAAGCAGCCAGGTATGGTGCTGAGGTCTGAAGTCCTAATTTGTAATTCCCAGCGCTGCAGGGGTGGCAGGAGAAAGACCAAATCTGGCTGTACAAGTGTGGAACCCTGACTCCATCAAGCTTAAAAAAAGAGCAAGTGGGGAGAGGTGGAGACTCGGTGATGGATACACAGCTCCTCCCCCCATACTCACCGCTGTCTCCAGAGCCTCCTTTTCATCCAGAATCAGGTCACTGTGGTCAGTGTGCACAACGGGACCCTGAGGTAGGAAAAATAACGAGAGGCCATGCTCAGAAGTCCATCCTGTCCCACCAGATCCCACAGGCCTTCCTCCGGAGGCCAGGCTGGAGGAGAGACCTGGAGGCTGGACTCAAGACAATAAAGAGGCTAGCCGGACACACTGAGCCAAAAGGATAACTGGGGGATAAAACATATTTGCCATCGTGAGGATGCTATGCGGCTAAGGTCATGTTTAAGACTGGAACCAAGCTGGGTATAATGGCACATGCTTTAATCTCAGCACTCAGGAGGCAGTGGCTGGAGGATCTCTGATTTGGAGTTTATGTAGCCCTGGGAATCAAACCGAGGGTCTTGAGCATGCTAGACCAGCATTCTGTTGGTTGAACTACATCCCTACCCCCAGTTAAAGCTCTTGTTTACATTTCATCATGCTTTTCTCTTGAGCTGAAACCCACTCCCCTTCATTGCCTCCCTCCCTCCCTTCCCAACTCAGCCGACATTGCTTGTTCTAGGAAGTCAGCCTGGTCTACATAGCAAGTTCTGGGGCAGCCAGGGCTACATAAAGAAACCTTGGCTCAAACAACAACAAAAAAGCTAGGACTATACTTGAGTTTGAGGATGGGTTAGACTAGGTTATCATTTTGGTCTGGAAACACAGTCAAATATGGACACCCAGTATCTTACCCTGTCCTCACTGATGCCCGTCTCCTCCTCAGGGCCTCGTGAACTGGAGCCATCACTGCTTCCTGGGATCCGAACCAGGTTCTTTTGCTTAGAGAAACAGCCTGAGGCCAGGGACGGTGAGAGAGGAGAGGAAAGTGAGGTTATATTTTGTGAAGACCGATACTTGGGAACAGAGCTGTCTGGGCAAAACAGGCTAGGAAGGCTGGGAACAAAGGAGAACCCTGCCCTGGGACAGATGGAAGGGAGCTGGGGGACCTGGAGGAAACAGATTCAGGGCTGGAGAGGGAACTTGAACCTGGGATAAGATGAGCCCTGTGCAAGCTTAGAGAGCTAGGAATGGAGCCAAGTCCCAAGGCTGATACTTGCCATGACGACAGCAGCAGAGGACCACTCCAGT